CAACCAAGGCACATGCCCTTGACCGGAATTGAACCTGGGACCTTTCAGTCCGCAGGCCAACGCTCTATCCACTGAGCCAAACTGGTTAGGGCTGTTTGTTTGTTTGTTTTTTCTGTTTTTTTGCAAGAGATGTATTTGCAACTTTTATGCCAAAGGCCTTTTGTAGTAACAGTAATTTATGAATATTTAATCTAAAGCAGTAAACCTTAAATAAAAGAAAAAAATGAGTATTCCCAAGTCAAAATAGTTAGATATAAAGTAGGAAATACTTTTTTTTTATGTTTCACAAAGTAATTATTCTTGTTCAGTCAGAGCAGTAAACCTTAAATAAAAGAAAAAATGAGTATTCCCAAGTCAAAATAATTAGATATAAAGTAGGAAATACATTTTTTTATGTTTCACAAAGTAATTATTCTTGTTCAGTCATAGAAAGCTTTGAGATCTGACAAAAATAGCAAAACATGCCGTGATTCTCAGTGTGACATTCTCTGGTCTATATGCAACAAAGAAAATGGCTCTGGGGTTTTATTTCCTCTGACTCTTCTCTTTTTAATAGCTTTATTGACATACATTTTAAATACCACAAAGTTCACTCATTTTTACCTCTCATTGATCCAATTTGACAGTTGTCTATTTTTTATTGTGTGTGTGTCAGTTTTTTGTTTGCATATTCTATTGTCTCCCCCCCTTCCCCCCTCGTGAGACTGAACCTGATTCTATAGAAGTTGGGATCGCCTTTGTGGCACCTGTAGGCAGGAATGACTCAGATATGAGGCCGCTGTGGGAGTGACAGTTCAGTGTGGCAGGACCCCTGCGGGCCCAAGGCGGCGTGTGTAACATGTCACTTCTCTCGAGCAGGAGATCCATGTCTCACCGGAACCTGTCCAAAGCGCTCTCTCTGGAGATGATTCAGCTGAAGGAGAAGGTGGCCAGATTTTCCTCATCGTCCCCATTCCAGAACCTTGAGATTATCGCCACACTGGGCGTTGGTGGGTTCGGAAGAGTTGAGCTTGTAAGGGGTTTACGTTTCAAGCATCTGAGAGAAAAGCCTTTGACTCTTTGTTCTGTTTTATATTCCAGAGTATCTTGGAGGAGTGAATAAATTGTTACTGCTGTCTTAAATGTTGCTTTGAATTGAGAAAGTACACTTTTCCGTCTGTGTGTTGTATAGTAGCAGGTCCATGCTAGGAAGTAACTTAAGAGCTGCTATTTCAAGCTTCTGACATCCCATCCTTATGTGATTTTTTTTGATGATGGTGGTTATTGGAGAATGTACCAAGTAAGCATTCCCAAAGACTATCAAACCTTAAAAAGTGTATTTCCTCACAGGAAAATGTGTGTGTATATATGCACTCATGGCACATGCACTGTCTATATACTAAAGAAAAGAAGAATGTCTCCTGAGCAAGTGCCATAGAAACAAATTCATTGTTATAGTTCTGTCCCTTAAACAACTTCACTACCATGTCTGTCTTTGGCTTTTATTACTTTATTTTTGGTTTGCTCAAACTTTTCTATCAGAAAAGAAAAGAAAAGATGAATGTGAGGAGGTGTTTGAAGAGCAGCCTTCTGTAGTGTTGATCAGGATGGCTGGGAACCTTCGACCTGATTTTGGCTGCATCTTCCACATCACCACCTCTCCAAGCTTTATAACCAGCTTCCAAGCAGCAGCAGAGTGGCACTCTCACGTCAAGTGCCCTGAGGAAACTAGAATGGAGATCTGAGGCCTTATTAGATGCATATGGCCCTGAACTCTTGGCAATTACCAAGTCCTTCTCTGCCCAGCAGATTTTTAACAATTCTCTGTACATTAGCCTCCGGGAACTATGCTGACACAGCCGTCTGCTGGGTAGCCCTGGGCACGAGCAGATCTGCAATGCTGCCAGGAGACTGGGTAGCACACTTCACACCCAGTCAGCACTTCATCTCTGATGGGTGAGGAGGGAGAAACAATCTCTTAATAGGCCAGAGAATATCTGTAGCGTTCCTCTGCCATATGGAGAGAGGAGGGCCAGACCCATCTGCAGTGATACTGTTCGCCAAAGACCTTGGCAAAGGGATTGCATTAACGATGCTGAGATCTGTCTTTTCTATAGTTAGATAATTATAATTGAAACAATAATTTCACTATTAATTTAACATCATAGGCAGCACTAATGGCAAATGTGAGAACAATATGGGAGGCAACCATTTCTTTACAATTTTATTACATGTCAAATAGAGTCTGTTTATGGAGTTTTAAGCTCATCTAAAAAAATACCTATTAAATTTTTTATTTCCTTTTGAGGGAAAATGCTATTTGTCCATGTAGGGCAGTGCTCTCCACTAGAGCTTTCTGTGCTGATTTAGATGTTCTGTACTTGTGCCGCCCCATAGGGCAGCCGCTAGCTACGGGTGGCTGCTGAGCTTTTGCAATGGGCTAGTGCAGCCGAGGAACTGAATTTTGATTTTTAATGAATGAACCTCATGTTGTTAGGGGCTGTTAAATCGGATAGTGCACATGTAGATCTTGATTTAATATGTTTTGTTTTGAAGATCAAAGAACACTTCTCATTAAAGATTTTCATGAAAAGATTTCTAAACATTAACTTTCTTCAAAATTGAATAGATTTCTAAACATTAAATCTAACTACAGTTTTTCTTTTCTTGTTTCAATACAAACGTTTTAGAACCCTGTTCCAGCTATGTGGACTCTTGTGGAAATTACAATGAAGGGGAAGTGTGTACCCCTGAGTAAAACTCAGTTCCCAGAGTGCTAAGTGGTTACAACTTCCATACTGTTTTCATATATGCTGAGAACTTTAACTCTCCTTAGTGAACATGTTTTATATAGATGTCGTCAATCTTTCCTAATAAGTGAGTGTTGAGGGATCTTTCTCTTCTTACGTAGGTTAAAGTGAAAAATGAGAATGTTGCTTTTGCTATGAAGTGCATAAGGAAGAAGCACATAGTGGATACTAAGCAACAGGAGCATGTCTACTCCGAGAAGAGGATCCTGGAGGAGCTGTGTTCTCCCTTCGTTGTGAAGTAAGTTGGCATTCGGCTCCCAGAACTGCGGGTGTGAGGCTCTTCTCATGAGTGTTTCTATGCAGGAGAGTAGACAGAGGAGGAAGGGGAGGCCCCACTCTGAATTCTCCATCCCAGTCTCAACAGCAGTACATAAAACGCTTCAAGTTTGAGATCTGGAGTCAAACACCCGGGTCCTTTTATTCTTGAGTAAATGTCAGGAAAACGTGTGTGTGTGTGTGTGTGTGTGTGTGTGTGTGTGTGTGTGTGTGTGTAAAATTAACTGAAATGATTTGAATTGATTATTTAGTCCAGACCTAATTCAGAATTTGGGAAGCAAGAATTCATTGCTTCCCTCAGGGACTGTGCTGCCGTTGAATTTCTGCCGGAAGTGGCATTTGGGCACGTCTCGGCTGCCAAGGAGCGACAGACTGTGGTTTCTCACGATGCCTAAATGCCGAAAGTCCCACCTCCTGATAGTTACTGGTCTGTCTGTAGCTATCACCAGAGCTTGAAAGAGAAATGTGTTATTCTAGGCCAGGGCTATCTTTACTTGTGAAGTCATGGGTTATTGGTGTAAGCCAGTTCGTCTTTTCATATATGGCTGTAGTGTAGCTTTGGTGATTTCTGGGTGATATAAAGTGCCCCTTCAAGAATAGAATTTTTACTTTTTGATCAAATGCCTTGCAAAAATATTCCTGCCAATCCATATCCCCCCCTTTTATTTCAGTATTAAAAAAGAAACATGAAACCAGGCAATGCTGGTAATAGGGTCGTCCAATTATCTTTATATTAACTATATTCCCAAAATGCATCCCCCTCTTTTTTTCTTAACCAATAATTCATAAACAAATTTTGACAAACAGCTTTATTGCATATATTAGGTTTTATTAGTTACTCATTTCCAGCTCTTTACAAAGTTCTTGGCATATAGTAGGATAGTAATGATATTAAGAATAAATATTAATGACATTTATTGAGAAATTAACATATGTCAGGCACTCTAAGCAATATATATATATTATACATATAAAATGAAACATTTAAAAATTTATATTTTTATATACAATATATAGACATATATATTGAATTAATATGTACTCAATAATATCTAATCAATATATAATCAAATGAATACATATATTCATTTGATCTTCATAATAGAACAATGAGATACATGTTATGATTGTCCTCATTGAAGAAGAACAATAAGTAAAGTGAGATTGCATAGCTAATAAATGGCTGATTAGGGATTCAAGCCTAGGCAGCTGGTTCCAGAGCCCACTGTACCAGATTGTTTTTGCTGTCTATGCATGATATGGCTGCTCTACTATCCACTGTAGCTTGAGCATGGTGCTAGGGAGAAAAAGGGTCTTTTGATTAAGACACAGAAACTACTTTCACTAATGTGGAAATACAGTTCCCTGCTCAGGTCCCACATCAGGATTGAGGGTGTCATTCCCCCACATTCTGAGGACTATGGCTCAGCCCTTCTCTGACCATTGCTCTAGGCCAGTAGTTGGCAAACTGCGGCTCGCGAGCCACATGCGGCTCTTTGGCCCCTTGAGTGTGGCCACGAAGTTTCAATCGCACTATACGTGCGTGCCCGCACGTGATATTGTGTGAAAGAGCCACACTCAAGGGGCCGCAGTTTGCCGACCATGGCTCTAGGCAAAGAGAACACCCTTGCCCACGATCGTACTCTCTCTCCATGTACAGCCTGTGTCTGTGATGGCGGATCTCCTGAAGCTAGGGCTTTTGTTGAAACTAGATTATAGCCCAACTCTCCCTCTTTCCAAATCTGTTTCTTTCTCCCTGAGAGTACTTTTCCCAAGTATACTCCCACTAAACTTCTTGCAGACCTCTATCTCAGAGTCTATTTCCTGAGACCAACTAGAGGATGTAAGACATGGGTATGAATGACTGTTATGCAAGACAGATCTTAAAGGAGATAAATGCAGAAGTCTCTGGGTTTGGGGAGGAAGAAGAGGCCATATTTGGTAGGTGGGATAATGAGCTGCTTTATCAGGAAGATGGCCTCGGAGCTTGGTCCTGAGGAATGGATAATACTTTTACAGTGAAATTGAGATTAAGAAGTTGTCTGTATGTAGAGGGAGGACAGTCTAAGTAAAGGGGCCAACATGAGCAAAAGCAAGGCAGCAGGAAAGACTACAGAGCAGTCAAGTAGGAAGCCAGTGTAGCTGTAGGAGGTTTGGAAGGAGAAGAGGACCATTGCTCAAAATGTTACTGATGATGCTCTGAAGCACCTTGAGAGAGGTCTTAAAACTAGATTTCTAATAACCATGTCTTTATGTCTTCACAGATTGTATCGTACTTTCAAGGACAATAAGTATGTATACATGCTTCTGGAAGCCTGCTTAGGTGGCGAGCTATGGAGTATATTAAGGGACAGGTAATGAACAGAGATTTTATAAATAATAACTTTTGTCTACTCACAAATGGTCTAAAGGATGTTATATTCATGATCATTTAAAGAGACATGAAGAAAGCAAATATATAATTCTAAGAAGGTATTATCACTTGTTAAAATAAGGTGCTAATAGTGATATTTTCTCAGTCAATATTATAGTTGTGTCATAGGAGCCCTGTAAATTCATTATTGTCATTCCCACATTAGGGATGAAATTATCCCAGGCTTGGGGACAGTGTGAACTATCCCCAGTGACATGTTTAGTACGAGACAGAGTAGATACAAGCCCAGATGCTCTGATTGCGAATCTCTAGAATGGAGATGAAGGACGGACGATAGTGGTGCAGCCTTTTCTGAAAAACAGAGTCAGATATCTGCAAAGATTCAACTTTATAAAAGGGATAGTTTTCAAACAATCAAAACCACCATTTTTTTCTCCACCCAGATTTTCAACACAATGGAGATTTTTCTAACCAAGGAAAGTATAAACTTTCCCTCCAATGAGTTCTGAGCTTATTGGGGAAAATAGTATATAGAATTTAAAAACATTTCATTGTGTGTGAACACTAAATATGACAAAGAAATTGGCAGTTTCTAATTGAAGGCAAGTTCACTATGGCAGACAGTTAGCTTAGAGAAGAGGAGAGAGAGAAAAATGTGATGGTAAAAGAAAGACTTGAACCAAACTCTGAAGATGACCAAATGTGGAAAGGCGGAGAGGAAAGGTAATTAGTGTAAGATACAGCAGGAGCATTGGGATAGGATTGGGACTCTTTCTGGATGATGAACAGCAGACTTTGAGTATAAAACAAGGGCAGCAGCAGAGGAGATGGGTGGTAGGTTTTCACTATGTTGGGGTGGCTGGGGGGCGGGGGCGTAATGCCAGGCATTTTGAGAATTACCTGGGCCAGTGGTTCTCAACCCTGACTACACATTACAGTCACATGGGGATCGTTTACAGAGTAAAATGCTGGGCCCTAACACCAAGGATTAGGATTTTCATATGGGATAGGGTCCAGTAAATGATTGTTAATGCTCCTCAGGCAATTCTAGTGTTCATTCAAGGCTGAGCATCACACCAAGTCAATAATAGACCATTGGAGCATCTGAGTAGAAGATGAACATGTTATGTTAGGAATGTATTGTTGGATGGATCTGAATGGGGAGATCCTGGAAGTATGAGGAGGGTTGCAAGACACCTGCAAAAGCATTTGCATCTTCCATCCTTGCTTCAACAGGCAAATCAATTTAGAAAATCTAAATCAATTTTAAAAAGGGGATTTCTACCTCCTGTTAGGCACTGCACCTGATCCTCAAAACAACACTGTTAAGTAAGTAGTAAACCCATTTTACAGATAGGGATCCGAGGCTCAGAACAGCTGAACAACTTGCACAAGGACACAGTGAATGGAAGCAGCAGGAGTCAAAGCCAGTCTCCTTCACCCCAAAGACACATCCTTCCATTATACCGTGCAGCAAATCACCACCACATTTTAACAATTCAGTATGTAAACATACATACACAGTGCTGACAGTGGGCAGCTCAAATATCATCAAAGTGCCCCAAATGGGAAGAAGTTGTGGTTACATGCTTTACAAACAGGAAATGAGCATGATCACCTGAGTCATTTTTGAGTTAAGCAATCAATTACAGACGTCTGGTTCAAGCTTGGCAGTTGCATTTTCTCCAGTGTTGCATTTCTCCATAAATGTCTAAAAAAAACTTTAAAAATTTTTTCAATTTTATATGTTTATATGTAATGACCAGAAACAATTGTTTGGACGTGGATGTTTTGATTTTAGTGAAGTAGTTCTTATTTGCATCTAGTATCCCCCTAAATTTCTTTATGATCAGCAGTCTAATTCATTGGCAGTGAAAGTTCCTTTTTTGTTTTGTTTTGTTAATCCTCGCCCGAGGATATTTTACCACTGATTCTCAGAGAGAGTGGAAAGGAGGGGGAGAGATAGAGAGAAACATCAATTGGTTGCCTCCTGCACGCACCCCAACCAGGGCCAGGGATGGAGCCTGCAACCACGGTATGTGCCCTTGACTGGAAAGGAACCCGGGACCCTTCAGTCCATAGGCCGATGCTCTATCCTCTGATCCAAACCAGCTAGGGCAGTGTAAAGTACTTTTTAATCTTGCTGTCCTACAAAACATTTATGTTGCATCAATTTACCAAAACAGTAATTGACACCTAGAATAGACAACGGAGATATGTTTCGAGAGCATTAAGAGGGAACATGATTTCATTACAGAGGCAGCTTTGATGAACCCACCTCCAAGTTCTGCGTGGCTTGTGTGACTGAAGCATTTGATTACCTGCATCGACTAGGTATTATCTACAGAGACCTGAAGCCAGAAAACTTAATTCTGGATGCTGAGGGCTATCTGAAATTGGTAAGACAAATTCTCTGACTTATAGCATCATGTGAGATATTTCCAAACACAGAGTTGTGCGATAGTTGCAATTTCCCTTTAATGTTGATACACCTGTTGTTTCCACTTTGGTTGATGGGGTCTTTGAAACCCTGGGAGCAGTGTAACAAGCACATTCTTTTTGGCCTAGGAATTAATGTTTCAACCATATTTTTGAGTCCTCCTAGGGATTCACATTATAGAATGCCTTTAAAATTGGATTTTGTTAGTATTTTTTAAAAATAATTGTAAGTAAGTTTTAATAGATTCTTGCTATATACAGGGAGTGGCTATAAATGATAAGGAAAGAAAAGGAGAAAAGATATATGTATGAATGTGGGTAGTTGTTTTTTGTTTTTTTTTTTTTATTTTTTCTATATGATTCTAAAGTACCAGGGTTGAGGATCACGGCATTAGATGATGGCTTCTTGGGGACAGAGACTTGTCTTGCTATCTATCTTTGTAATCCTCTAATGCCTACCATAAATCCCCTTGCGTGTCACACTAAAGAAAAAATGCTACCGTCACATAAACCGTTTGCAGTAAGAAACTATATGAGAACCGGGAAGTCATAATTTAAGAGAAGTCAAGGCACTTCGTGCCTTAGAAGGTGACCCTTTGAGGATGGGGGACCCAGGCTGAGTTTTCCTGAGTCCATTTTGTCAGTACCGCGAGAACACGAAACCATTTCTGAACTTAGCATTTACAGAGATATTAAAAGTTTCTCACATCAGAACTTTTACATATGGGCACTATTATTTAATGAGTAGTTGACTATGTGTAAAGCTACTGTGTGCTAAACATTTTGCAATTAATATATGTAACAATTGATGACATAGGTTTTCTCATCTACATGTTGCAGTGTATAATTTAGTTTTAGGAATTTGTTATCTGCAATTGCTAAGCAATTTCTCTCCCTAGTAAAGGAGTAAAATGAAAGTCCTTTCATGTGAAATCTGACTACCTTCCAAGAAACATTTTGATCCATTCAAGCTTTATCTTATCCATGCAAGACAGCTTTGAGAATTGGTGAGGTTCTAACACAAGTCCTCAATCACTCCTCTTCTTCACAAACCCTTCATTGGCACAGCTCTTTAGGGTAAAAATTTGGAATATTCTAGAAGTAAAACCACCATGAGGGACGCAGATATCTGTTCAGTTCCTTTTTTGTCATAGCTCTTTTTAAAATATTAGATAGCATAGTCCATATTTGCAGTCATAAAGGTCAATAAATATCTCTCCTGGTGGCCATTGTTATCCATCCTAACTCATTTGCCAACCAACTAAATGAAGATTAAGGCCTTTAGAGATTAAAAAGTACTTGTTGGATATTTCCATTTCTAGCTATATATCAAACTAGATATCCTGAAATCCTCTCACCACAAAATGTCTAAAATTACTGGATGAAACATGAAAAGCAGTACTGCATGCATGGCTGAATTTAAGAGACAACACTGGGGTTCTCTTGAGGCTGGGAGCCAAGCTTGAGCAGTGGCATAGGATGGAGCTCAAACATTGAAGCTGCTATCTTGTGGGCACCCAGCAGCAATCCTAGTGGCCTGGAGGTTTGATTTTATTAGCTTCACCCTCTGGGAACAGGAGACCAAGTCTTCTACCTGGACAGTGTGGGAAGTTGAAACAGAACATTGCACAGAATCAGGAATCACACAGATTACACCCGCAGGGAAATATAAAACAAGAAAAAAATCTGATGTATAAAGACAGAGTAAATGCAAGACAACATGCTTTTCTAATTATTGGGCCTTTGGTAGAGGAGTAGAAGAATCTTTTCTAAGAAATCTTGGCCACATGGAGGTTGGGTACCCAGTCTTCAAGGATGGAAAAACCCAAGCAAGAATAAGTGAAAATTGATCCATGTTGGTAGCATGCCCAAGTTTCCAAGAATCAATGTATATTCTCTCTGGAAGAATATACTGTCAACTCAGGACACAAAGAACTTTCAGAGATAAAGTTCCAGAAAACATGAGTTTACATTTAAAAATAAAACCAAATTAATAAAATATAAATTAAAAGGGATATGGAAGCAAGCTTGGTGTTTTAGAAAAATTAATAAAATTTAAAAATCTGTGGAAATTTCAATCAAAAGTAAAAGAGAAGAGGTACAGATATATGCTATCATAAGTGAACATCATAAAGTTAAAGCAGAGATTTATGTGGAGGAGAGAGTATTTGGGCATCTTTACACTATCTTATTCTGTGAGGCTAATGTAAACTTGATTCTCCAAAGAAAACTCGTTAGAAAAGGCAAATAAATGTCCAATATTACTCATGAATGTAATCCAAAAATCATAAGCCAAATATTAGCAAACTGAACACTACAAAGAACACAAATTGTGATAATCCAGTATAACATAGTTGGATATATCTCAGGAATGCAAGCAATTAACATTAAAGATTCCATTAAAACAAGTCACTGTCTTAATATAAGATTAAAAAAATAAAAACATTATATAATCACCTCAATATCTGCAGGGGAATTTTTCATAAACTTTTACATTTATTTATGATAAAAACTACTTAGTGAACTAGGAATATATGTATTTTTCCTTTGGGACTGTGTTATATTATCACTCACTTCACCAGCAGCAGTGTGTATGAGTTTCCATTGTTCTAAATCCTCACCTTCATTTAGTGATATTACCTTTTTCCCTTCTGTAAGTATAAAACCACTATGGTTCTAATTCACACCCCCTCTCATTAGTAATTAGTTTAAGCCTATCCTGTATAATAAAAGGCTAATATGCAGATCAACTGAATGGTGGAATGACCTGTCGCTATGATATGAACTGACCACCAGGGGGCAGACGTTCAATGCAGGAGCTGCCCCCTGGTGGTCAGTGCGCTCTCACAGGGGGAGTACCACTCGGCCAGAAGTCAGGGTCATAGCTGGCGAGTGCGACGGCGGCGGTGGGAGCCTCTCCCTCCTCCGTGGCAGCGCTAAGGATGTCCGGCTGCTGGTTTAGGCCCACTCCCCATGGGCCTAAGGCGGCAGTCAGACATCCCCTGAGGGCTCCTGGACTGTGAGAGGGCACAGGCTGGGCTTAGGAACCCCCCCTCCCACCAAGTGCACAAATTTCGTTCACTGGCCTCTAGTGGCATTATAATTAGCTGTGATATCTGAGAGAGTATCCTCCCAACCTCTTCTTCTTGTCTTCAGAAATGTCTTGGCTATTCTTGGCTCTTGGTTAATCTACATAAATGTTAGTATCAGCTTGCCAGGCTTCATGAAAAGCTCTGCTTAAACTCTACCTGTACATTAATTTCTTTCTTCCTCACATAATGGATTTTCCTGAGCAGCAGGGAGCTCTTCTCCAAACAGTGGTTCAGGGAACCCAGGCTCCTTCCATCTTATGTCCCTGCCAGTTTCAAATCTGCTCTTTGTTGACCACAGGCATGGAGATCGCCCATGTCTGAGGTGGTGCACAAAAGTGGGCTCACATTTCACTAGGTAGAACTGATTTGCGTGGTCACAACCAGCACAAAGAAGGCTGGGTTATGTTGTTTAGCTCTGTGCCCAGAAGAAAGAAGAATGAGCCTATTTATTTACATTATTTTTAATGCCTTTCTATAAATTTGTATAAGTTTCTCAAAGCTCTTACATTTTTGTTAGGTTTATTTCTAGACATTGTGTAGTACTTGACAGTATTTAGTAAAATAGAAGATACCACATCTTTGACCCAGCAATTTCACTGTCTTACACATGTCCACTAGGAAACATGGAAAATGATGTTAATAGAAGCATTTTTGTAGTAGAAAACAATTAGACATAATCCAAATGTCTAGCAATAGCATGATAGACAAACGTAATCATGTTGTGCAATTCAGTGGTGTATGATACAGAGTAAAAATAAATGTACTATAATATTTATTTTATTAAATTCACAGATATGATTTTAAGTGAAAAGAGGCAATTTGACCAATGATAGATATAAGATTTATCTAAAAATTTTAAATATGAGAACTGTGAATTATTTAAGGATGTTATCTATGTGGTAAAATCAGAATTGAATGCAAGCAAATGATGAATACAAAACTCAGGGCAATGGTGACCTCTTGGCAATGGGCAGGAAGACACTGTGGGAGGAGCACATAGGGTTTCCACATGGTTCTGTTCTAATTATTAAACTGGTAGAGGGTACAGGGTGTTTTTATTCTTATGCTTTATAACTTGCATACATGTCCCAATATTTTATATGTAGCAAGGATTTCCTTACTTAAAAATAAAAGTAGTCATAGGCTCCATCTATATTATTTTTCCAGACCATTATAAGCTGTTCTTATCCTATATAATAAAAGCCTAACATGCAAATCGACCAAATGGTGGCACGACCTGTGGAATGACTGGTCACTATGACATGCACTGACCACCAGGGGGCAGATGCTCAGCGCAGGGGCCCCTGATCACCCTGCTGGTCACCCCAAAGATCATCCCTGCTCACTGGCCAGGCCTAGGGACCCTACCCATTCACGAATTTCATGCACCGGGCCTCTAGTTCAATGATAAAAGCTTATTAAATCAAGCTTTTCCCACTGAAGTGCTTAACATATGCCAATTCTTTTCCCTTAAATACCTTCTACTTCATCATCAATTCACTTATTATGATAATGTTCCCTTTGAAACCTGATCAGGTGTCACCTCAGATACCCATGACCTCCCTAAATTTTAATTTTCTCACCTTTAACTTAGGATAATAGTTTCTAGCTCACAAAATTGTAACACTGTTTTAAAGAGTATAAATATGTTATTGAAACTGATGTTAATAGCAATCTTTTTATTCATATTTTCTTCACTAAACATGTGTTGAGCATCTGCTGTGTTACAAACTCTGTAGGGGGTACAAAACGGGTAAGATATAATGCCTCTTCTCAAGGAAGGAGCTGGTCACACAACTAGAGGATGCTTCCTTAAGGGGTGTAATTGTGGAATATAAATAGTGTTAAAGAACCTCATGGGAGAAAGAAATTGGTTCTGTAAATCTTGCTCAAAGAGGTGGTGGTATATCAGATGAGCCTCCGATTTTTTCCCCCCAGTTTGTTCGTGCGCACGCCAAGTTTCTCTTCATCTTGCCCACATTCTACTAAACATTCCAAGTATTTCAGATGAGTCACCATGCCCCCACACCGATTCCTGAAGGACTCACCCATCCTATCCCTTAGCCTCCCTCGCTCTCACTTCCATCCAGGGGAAGCCATCCACTGTTGCCTGTTGGCGGATGGGATGAACAGATTCCATTTTACCCTTGTCTAGACGTGGGCAAAGTAAGTGCCCTCAAAATGCCACATAAATATTTTTTTTTGGAATGTTATGTGTCCATGAATCATCAGGCTTCATTAGACTGGTCATTTTGATTCCATTTTTTAAGCAACCAGGAGAACCAATATCTGACAAATTTACTTACCCAGAGAGAAAGTTCTGGGAAAAAGCTAATACTGGACACCAGCTCCAGGAAGCCACATGCTAATTTTTCTATTTTGGAAGGATGCAGTCATCACTGCAGATTTAGAAACATCTTAAAACCTCCTAGTTTCTTAAAATCTTTGGAGACGTCATGTTTTTCCAGCATAATATAAACTATCTTTAATAATGGGGATTTAATAGAGAAAAGAAAAAGACCTGTGTGCAGCTTCTCCAGACATTCTTCCTGAGAGCTCAGTTTTGCTAGTAGAATTGTTCAAAGTGGTATGTTTTTTCTTGTCTTCTGGAATGATCCCTTTAAAACATTAGCCCCTTTCATACCCCTTCTCTTAATACTGTAATGGCCTCCCAGGGAAAATAATCTAAAGCTCTTCGTGTGGCTTACCAGTTTACTACATATGGCCCAGCCACACTGGTCTTCTTGTCTGTCCTCGAACTTGCCATGGGTGTTCCCAAAGGCTGGGGGCTATGCGCTAGCTCTTCCTCTGGCAGAATCACTCTTGCTCAGATTTTTCCTGAGCTCTTTCCTAGTTCTCTTAAATTTCTGCTGAAATCGACTCAAATGCTACCTCCTCAGAGAAGTGTTTCCTGATTGCTTTCTGTAGCTAATACTGCGGTAGGTTTTTTCATAGCATATGTCACTACTATCTGACATTATTACGTATGGTGTCAAATTTTTATGTTTGTTCTCTTTCTCTTCAGTGTATGCTCAAGGAGGACTGGGGCCTTGTCTATATCCTGACACTTGCTACATAGTGGTATTGAACAAACATTTGTTGAATGAATAAAGTAAAGAGCTTACATTTCTGTTGTCCAGAAGGGGGAGGGTTAAAAAAAAAAAGACAGGCTTTGTGGTGGTATCCATGGTTGTACAAGACAGAGGTAGTGTGAATTTTTATAGAAAATATACAAAAGTGGACATCAGAAGATCTGGGCATATTAGGCAAATCTAATATGGATAGGTCTGCATGTCAATTTCCTCTGACTACATAAAGTTGTTAAGCTTAAAGGATATAAAAAAAGAGGTAACTTTTCATAAGTCTTTAAAACTTTTTTAAAATAGATTTTTATTGCTTTCAGAGAGGAAGGGAGAGGGAGAGGGAGAGAGAGAAAAACATCAAAGATGAGAGAGAATCATTGATCAGCTGCCTCCTGCACATCACACATTGGGGATCGAGCCTGCAATCCAGGCATGTGCCCTGCCCAGGAATTGAACCATGACCTCTTGGTTCATAGGTTGATGCTCAACCACTGAGCCATGCTGGCCAGGCAAGTCTTTAAATCTTTTTTGGTTTTTTAAAACCTTTTTATTTATTTCAGAGAGGAAAGGAGGGAGGGAGGGAGAGAGGGAGAGAGAGAGAGAGAGAGAGAGAGAGAGAAACATCAATGATGAGAGAGAATCATTGATTGGCTGCCTCCTGCACGCCCCCTATTGGGGATCAAGCCCGCAACCCAGGCATGTGCCCTTGACCAGAATCAACCTGGGACCCTTTAGTCCGCAAGCCGATGCTCTCTCCATTGAGCCAAACTAGCTAGGGCAAGTCTTTAAATCTTAATGGAACTATTGCCATCTCTTTGGGCCAACATGCAGATATTATAAAAGCAAAACCAGCTATTCAAATTAAAATTTACAACTTTTAGAGCTAGAAAAATTCTCCTAAACATCTAATAAACTTCCAGTCTCCATAAAAGGGAAAAAAATAGCAATGAGAAAATGAATTGAAAAGCTGTTACAAAACAAGAAAATATAATATTTCCACATATGCATACATTAAAAATGCAATTATAAGCATTGCTTTCTTGGCTCTTAAAGTTGAGTCTTTATAAAATTACCTAGGATTTTCATAATGGCTCTTTCTCTGAGGAATAAGTATATATGCTAATCTCAGCTGGTTACAAATTTTAATTTCATAATATCCACAGCCATCTCTTAGAATCCTGTGAGTCACCCTATGTAGCTGAAGAACACAGCAAAAGCCCACTTCTAATTAGGTTGTTTAAATTCCCTTTTTCTAATAAGGAAACCCATGCTATTGTGTGATAAATACTAAAAAGTATTAGTAAAAAGGTAAATTTCTAAGATTTATGTAAGGTAAACATGAAGATTTTAAATGTTACTATTTGGATGAATAAATGAGGACTGCATTTCATAGTTCACTGACTCAGACTTTTCTAAGTGAGGACCTATTTTGATATGCTGACCTTATTTATTTAGGTTCTTGGCCAAGGTTATTGCCATATTATTGAGATAGTGTGGGTAATGAAGCTATTAAAATGTGCATGTTGAAGCCCAGGTATAATTTGTGTGTCTGTTTACTTGAGGGAGGTGGAGGGCAGTCTTATTAAAATAATATCTGTATGTATTGAAGATGAAAAGTATGTGCTAAGTAACCCCTGTGGAAGGAAACCGACTGTTTGTTTTGCAGGGCAGAGTGTCAGTCGTGGACACTGCCCTGATTCAGTGAGTGGGGCTTCTGTCGCCCCAGCCTCCTTTCCTGTCTCTATTCTGTGCACAAAGTCCATTGAATAGAGTCTCAGAGAAGTGGAGGGGCCTATTCTGAAAAGGAAGAGGAGGATAGCAGCCATTCATTAGCCTGGGAAAGTTCCTAATCATTAGTCAGGGCCAAGCTGTGGTGCCACCTCCTGGCATCTTCCCCAACCTTCTTCCTCATGCTCCAGACATATGTTCTTTTAGCCCTCTGAGCTGGCATCATCTTCTACTATATTATGTATTACATGGCATAATATTAATCACATATGGATAAGTATTCCCAACACACCGAGCTTCTCCTAGTCAACTCTGTATCTGTACACCTAGCACAGAGCCTGGCCTATAGTGGGTGCCGGCTGAATTAATATTATATTCAGAATAAATAAGTTTATGCAGGTACTATTCGCCACCACCACCCTGCGAGTGTATAGAATCCAGCCAAGGGTCAGCTGGGATGATCCTGGCTTTTTCTTTGGACTGTCAAAATTGAGAGGGTGCAGACATTGTGCATAATAGTTTTTAAAGACTGTCGAGAATTTTAAACCCCCTTCTTTTCAACAGTGGTCCTTTCCCAAACTCTCAAGTCTGCTATTATTTTTTTCCTCTCTGATGGACTTTCAAGTCCATCGCTTCCCCCTTCTGGCCTCTTCCCAATGAATGCCACCATTGATTTGAAAATGACTCTAGTCCTGCTTGCTCTGAGCTGCACATGTGGTGTTCTGGTATCCCCTTGCTAAAGCTTTTCTCTAGGGGCTATGAATGCAGAAGTGTGTGCATGGAACGCACTCCAGTGTAGTTAGATTTACACTTGGCCCTACAAAAGAATAACCAGAAGGGTCAGTGTGTGTGTGTGTGTGTGTGTGTGTCTGTGTGTGTGTGTGTGTGTAGGGAAGGGTGAGAGTGTAGAAGAAAATGGGGGAAGTTAAGGGGAGACTTAAAGAAGGACATAAGTTTTATGGTCTCTGAAAATCTCCTTGACATTCTTTTCCAGGTTGACTTTGGATTTGCTAAGAAAATAGGATCTGGACAGAAAACATGGACATTCTGTGGGACCCCAGAGTATGTAGCCCCTGAAGTCATTCTCAACAAAGGCCACGACTTCAGTGTGGATTTCTGGTCCCTGGGAATTCTAGTGTATGAGCTCCTGACTGGCAAGTAAGGCCTTTCAAGTTGTGTTCTGCCTCTTCTTCGGAGAAGTGCCAAAATAACTAATGATTTATGAGCTTAACATTTTGGAATGTGATGCCTTTTCGTCTTTACATTATTTCACACATAGTATGCTTGCTAGTTTAGAATGTAGAGAAAAGATGCAGGAAGGTAAAAGAAAGGCGCACAGAATGCTGTGGTTTACCTAGAATGGCAAGCCCTCTTAGTGTAGATAACATATTAAGTGTGTGAAGGTTTTGATAATTCAGCATAAGAATACGAAAAGGAATTGAAATTATAGGCTATGTTATTATTTCCTTTTGTATAGTTTTGTAATTGATAAAATAGTAATCATGTTTCAATTGAATTCATTGATCAATTAAACTAAATTTAGCCATGTTCTTCTGTCTTCCCAATAAATCATTAACCAGAAATGCTAAGAGAAAGCAACATTGCTGAAATTAAATGTCATTCCCCTTGTCATCTGCTTTCTAGAGGTGCTAATTAACAGAAACATGACACAGCAGAGGTTTTAGCAGTTAAAATTGAATTGTCATTCCCAAAGAGATTAAGGGAGTATATTAATGAATCCAATATTCCAAATATTCAACATACGCACACATATTTATAATCACACATGCGCACCCACGTACATATATAGGCTATATGTAATATCAACTCATATTTGTAAAATACTTTAGTTTACAGAGCACTTACCTGTGTGAAAACTTGCATGGAAGCTAAAGCAGGAAACTTTATCACTTTTTACAATTTAAATTTTGATTATTTTATGATTTCGATATTATAGATTAGAAGACCAGAGCAGTGAGCTACCTGCCTAAGATTGGGGATTTCATCCCAGATCTTCTGACTAAATGTGATGCATTTTCCATTACATACATGTCATGTAGCATAGTGCATGGACATACCCACCGGATTCGGATCAGTTATCTTTCCAATTCTGTACCTCCATTTTTCATTTACTGATTTGCCTATCCTTATAAACCTTTATAACCAAATATTCTGAGTCTTAATTTCAGGGAGGATTTGCATGTGGAATGGCATAAGAAAATACCGGAATGAGCCCATTGATGAGAATTCAAGTCTCAACACATATTTTACAAAACGAGTTTTACGGAATCTTCTTGAACTTTTTACACTACAAATTTTAATGTTCAATTACCTATGACTACATTCTATGTCCTTGTCAATATGCATTGAGCAAACAGATATGGAAGATTATATTATCTGTAATAAATTTCAAATATTCATTGCTTAAAATTTTGAAGGAAAGAAGGGAAGAATATCCAGATAGTCACTCAGAGAGAAAGTCGCTTAAGGTCTTGAAACACAAGGAATTCTATTTCATGAATTTGTTTTCTCATCCCTGGAAAATTTGTTAGCTGCATTTCTAAGAGACACATGATATTTCCCTTAGGTCACTGAAGAATAAACATTTCAGTCTTCACCAACTGGGATAAATTGTTAAAGGTGAAGGAAAATCAAATGAGGGAAGAAGGAAGCGGGGAGGAAACCCCAATAATTTGGAGTTGCTAAGGTGGCTTGAGCTGTCATAAAAAAGTTGGTAAAGGTTTTCAGGGTAGAGCACAAGAAAAATTAATTTTATATGCCCTGAACTCTAGAGTCAGGAGGTAAATGAAAATGAAAAAATAATTCAAAAACAAAATGCAATATAGTTGTAAATATATAAATGAGTTGAAAATATTATAGCCAGGTTTTTGTTTCCTACCTCACTTTCTTTATAGGTGAAACAGATTGCTGAAAGTTAGCACACTGACCTTATTACAAGTTTATTACCCAGAGTGGGGACTCTCAACATCAAAAAGTTCTCAAGCATGACTGAGAAATAGCAAACAGTTCATGAAAGTCATCTTTATTTTTCAAATATTAAAGGACACAGTAGAATAGATTATGAAGTGTTTTTCAAAGCAAAGTGTCTGCATTAAAATGGTATTCAAATTCAATTCCCAGTTCTTTCTTTCTCATCTTAGCAACTCTTTCCTTGAAGTACTCTCTTCACAGGACCTCTCTCTCTCCCATTTCTTTTCCCACACCGGTGGCTCCATCTCAGTCTCCATTACTGGGTCCCCTTCATCATCCTGACCGCTAAGTATTGGGCCACTTCTTGTCTTGATCTCTCTTCCATCTATTCCAGTGATGGCGAACCTTTTGAGCTCGGCGTGTCAGCATTTTGAAAAACCCTAACTTAACTCTGGTGCCATATCACATATAGAAATTTTTTGATCTTTGCAACCATAATAAAACAAAGACTTATATTTTTGATATTTATTTTATATATTTAAATGCCATTTAACAAAGAAAAAGCAACCAAAAAATTGAGTTCGCGTGTCACCTCTGACACGCGTGTCATAGGTTCGCCATCACTGATCTACTCACTCCCTGGGTGATCATCAAGCTCCACGATCCTAAATACTGCCTGGTGACTTCTCAGAATCATATCTCCAGCTCTAAACTCTTCCATGAATGTCAGACACAGAAATTCAACTGCCTGCTTAGCATCTCTATTTTATGTTCAAACATGACTCTGCATTCCTCATAATCTGCTCTGCACCCCTGCACCCACACCCCACCCCAGTCATTCTTTTCTGAGTCAGTGTAGCTTCCTTCAGTACGTCAAAACACTTGGCCATCATTCTCGAATTCTTTCTTTCTACCTTACACCACATTCACCTACCAGCTAGTCCTGTTTGCTTTACTGTCTAAATAAATCCAGAATCCAGCCACATCTTATCACCTTCGCCACTACCATCCTATTGCAGGCTGCCATGCCTGCCTTTCTCCACCGCTATCACCATCACAGTTTATGGTCCACACATTAAAGAGGAAAAAATAAAAAGCTTACCATGGCTGCTGTAAATTAGATCATTTGACTCACAACATATCCCAGGTCCTTACCATAGCCCAATAGATCTATATAACATTGTAACGGTCTCCTCTATCCCTTTCTCCTACTTACTCTCTCCACTGGCAACACTGCCCTCCTCACTGCTCCAAGAATAACCCATACCCATCCTGACTGATGGCCTTTGTATTGCTGTCTTGGAATCCTCTGACCACCGTTAAAGGTGTGGTTCATTCACTCCTTCTCTTCATTCATACCTCTGCTCCACTGTCAACTTATGAGAGAAGTTTCTTGTATCTATTCTGTCTTTAAAAAAAATCATACCTCTCTGTCATTTTCTGTCACCTCCCACTTTATTTTTTCTTTTTAGCGGTTATCAATACCTGAGCAATTACTTGTATGGGTATATGTGTAATTTGTTAAATGGTGTGAAATTGATGAAATTATTTTCTACCATTTCTCCAGACTTGTCATAGAGCAACTAATGCAAGAGAGAGAAGAGGAAGGAAGGGAGGGAGAGAGGAAGGAAATAAGGGAGGGAGGGAGGGAAGAAAGTCTTAGTTGTACATGTGTCTCAGAACCTGGTCCTAGTGTCCTATTTTGTCTTTTTTCTAGCCCGCCCTTTTCCGGGACTGACCAAATGATGACCTACAATTTGATTCTCAAAGGAATTGAAAAAATGGATTTTCCCAGAAAAATAACAAGAAAACCTGAGGATTTGATTAGGAGGCTTTGCAGGTGAGAATGACACTTAGAAACCTCTTGTTCCTGGGGAAAGTGTGAAAGTTTCTTATTTCTGTCTCTGCACATTTTAAATTAGGTATATATTTACTTTCTGTACTTTTCTCTGTAGCTAAAGTATAATTAAAGAAAATTCGTTTCTGTGTTGCAGTCTATCCTGGGAGTTTGAGTTTACCTTATTTAAGGAATCACAGTACTGACTTATAGAAGATGTAAAATTTTCAGGTTGCTTTAGGAGTCATCCTTATCTGTTAGAGCAAAATGGAACCACAAACCTTAGCATAATAAAGGAGTAATTAATTTACAATCTTGTTATTTTGAGAGAAAACCAATGGTGATGATAAAGTGTTACTATATGCCCTCTTTCAATTTTCATTTTTTTTAAAAAAGCACTCTTCTAGCCTTATTTTATTATTATTTTTATTGAGGTATAATGGGCATATAATATTATATTGGTTTTGCATGTACAATGCAATGATTTGATATTTGTAAACACTGCATAATGATTACCACAATAAGTTTAGTTACCATCTGTCGCCATACAGTTACACAAAATTTTTTCTTTCTTGTAATGGGAACTTTTAAGATTTACTCTCTTGTCAACTTTTAAATATTTGCTACAATATTATTGACTGTAATCACCATGCTGTCAATTACATCACCATGACTTACTTATTTTATAACTGGAAGTTTGGACCTCTTGATCTCATTCACCCATTTTGTCCAACCTACCTCCCTCCCCACTGGCAACCACTATTTTGTTCTCTAAATCTATGAGTTTTGGTTTGTTGGTTTATTTGTTTTAATTTTAGATTCCACATATTAGTTACATCCTACAGTATCTGTCTTTCTCTGTCAGACTTATTTCACTTAGCATAATACCTTCAAGGTCCATCCATGTTGTAAATGGCAAGATTTCATTTTTTGTGTGCCTGAGTAGTATTTCATTGTATATATATTCTTTATCCACTTATCCATTGATGAACATCACATCTTCTTTATCCACTCATCCACTGATGGACACTTAGGTTGATTTTATAGCTTGGTTATTATCTATATATATAAAAGGCTAAGTGACGGTCCGTCCGTCCATCCAACCAACCGACCAACCGGTACACATGATGCACACTAGCAATTTAAAAATAAATGTTGACTCATGCATGCGTGATGCATATAAAGCTCTCTCTGGTGCCAATCGCATGCATGTTTTAATTTTATAATAGTATATTATATATACTATTTTGACATGTAATTTTTTGCAGTAATGTAATTACTGCATGGATCTTTCTCCTAATTAATTTCCTTTCAATGTGCATGAATCTGTGCACTGGGCCACTAGTAAATGATATTGCAGAGAACATAGGGGTGCATCTGTGTTTTTGAATGAGTGTTTTTATTTTCTTTGGATAAATACCTAGAAGTAGAATTGCTGGATCATATTGTCATTCTATTTTTAATTTTTGAGGAACCACCATACTGTTCTCCATAGTGGTTACACCAATTTATATTTCTAACAATGTGCAAGGGTTCTCTTTTCTCTATATCCTTGCCAACACTTTATTTGTTGACTTTTTGATAATAGCCATTCTAACAGGTATAAAATGAAATTACATTGTGGTTTTGATTTGCATATCTCTGATTGGTAATTATGTTGAACACCTTTTCATGTACCTGTTGGCCATCTGTAGGTCTTTTTTGAAAAAACACCTATTTAGATTTTCTGCACATTTTTAATTTTTTTTTTTTTTGCTATCAAGTTGTATGATTACTTTATATATTTTGGATATTAACTCCTTATCAGATATGTGATTTGTAAATATTTTATTTCATTCTGTAGGTTGTCTTTTCATTTTGGTGATGGTTTCCTTTGCTATGCAAATGCTTTTTATTTTTATGTAATTCCATTTATTTTTGCTTTTGTTGCCTTTGCTTTTGGAGTCAGATCAAAAAAAATCATCACCAAGACTAATGTCAGAGAGCTTACTGCCTATGTGGTTTTTTTTAAGGAGTTTTAGGATTACAGATCTTACATTCAAATCTTTAATCCATTTAGAGTTATGTGTATGTGTGTGTGTGTGTGTGTGTGTGTGTGTGTATGCATGTATGTGTATGGTGAAAGATAGTACTCTTTTGCATGTGGCTGTCCAGTTTTCACAACATCATTATTAAAGAGACTATCCTTTCCCCATAGTATATTTTTGCCTCCTTTGTCATAAATTAATTGTTCATATATACATATGCCTATTTCTTGGCTCTCTATTCTGTTCCATTGATCTATGTGTCTGTTTTTATGCCACTGTCACACTGTTTTGACTAATATAGCTTTGTAATATAGTTTGGTGAGGTTTTTAGGGTTTTCTATATATAAAATTATATCATCTGCGAATAATAACTGTTTGACTTCTCCCTTTCCAATGTGGAGGTCTTGCCTAATTGCTCTGACTAGTACTTCTAATGCTATGTTGAATAAAAGTGGTGAGAGTGGATATCCTTTTCTTGTTTCTGATCTTAGAGAAAAAACTTTGACCTTTTTGCCATTGAGTATGATGTTATCTGTAGGTTGTTACATATGATCTTTATTATGTTGAGATACATTATACTTCTTTTGAGAGATTTTATTATAAATGGATGTTGAATTTTGTCAGATGCTTTTTTTAATCTGTTGAGATGATTATATAATTTTACCCTTTATTTTGTTAATGTGTTTCACATTGATTGATTTGCAGATGTTTTGCATCACTGGAATAAATCCTACTTGATCATGGTGCATGTTTTGTTTGCTAATATTTTGTTGAGGATTTTTGCATCTATGTTCATCTATGTTGGCCTGCAATTTCTGTGTATGTGTGTCCTTGTCTGGTTTGGCCTCATAAAATGAGCTTGGAAGCATTCATTTCTTTTCAGTTTTTTGAAAGACTTTGAGAAGTATAGGTATTAAGTCTTCTTTTAATTTTATTTTTTAAAATATATTTTTATTGATTTCAGAGAGGAAAGGAGGAGAGAAAGATAGAAACATCAATGATGAGAGAATCATTGATCAGCTGCCTCCTGAATGCCTCCCACTGTGGATTGAGCCTGCAACCTGGGCATGTGCCCTTGACTGGTCTCAAACCCGGGACCCTTCAGTCCACAGGCCGATGCTCTATCCACTGAGCCAAACCAGCTAGGTATAAATCTTCTTTTTAAACGTTGGTAGAATTCACCTTTGAAGCCATCTGGCCCTGGACTTTTGTTTGTTGGGATATTTTTGTTTACTGATTCAATCTCCTTTTTAATAATCAGTTTATTCAGATTTTCTATTTTTCCATCATTAAGTCTTAAAATATTATGTTTCTACTAGAGGCCCAGTGCATGAAATTTGTGCACTTGCGGGGGGGGTCCCTCAGCCTGGCCTGTGCCCTCTCATAGCTGGGGAGCCCTCAGGGGATATTAGTCGGACATCCTTAGTGCTGCCATGGAGGCGGGAGAGGCTCCCACCATTGCCGCTACACTCCCCAGCTGTGAGCCCGGCTTCTGGCTGAGCAGTGCTCCCTGTGGGAGTGCACTGACCACCAGGGGGCAGCTCCTGCGTTGAGCGTCTGCCCCCTGGTGGTCATTTCGTGTCATAGTGACCAGACATTCTGCCGTCCAGTCGATTTGCATATTAGCCTTTTATTATATTGGATGAATTTATCTGTTTCTTCTAGATATCCAATTTGTTCACAGCAGTCTCTTAAGATCCTTTGCATTTTTTTGGTATCAGTTGTAGCTTATCTTTCATTTCTGATTTTATTTATTTGAGCTTTTTTTCTTTATTACTTGGTGTGTCTAGCTAAAGATTGTCAATTTTATCTTTTCATAGAACCAAAGCTTAGTTTTGTTGATCCTTTCATTTAGTCTCTATTTTATTTTTATTTTTTGCTCTGATCTTTATTTTTTCCTTCCTTCTATAAACTTTTGGCTTTGTTCTTCTTTTGATAGTTCCTATAGGTGTAAAGTTAAATTGTTCGGGATTTTTTTGTTTCTTGAGGTAGGCCTGTATCACTATTATCCTCCCTCTTAGAACCGATTTTCCTGCATCCTGTAGATTTTGTTAAGTTGTATTGCCATTTTCATTGTTTCAAGTTATTTTTTTATTTCTGCTTTAATTTCTTTATTGACCCATTGGTTGTTCAGTAATATGTTATTTACTCTCCACATATTTATGATTTTTCCAGTTTTCTTCTCCTACTTGATTATTAGTTTCATACCATTGTGGTTGGAAGATACTTGATATAATTTCAGTCTTCTCTAAATTTATTGAGACTTGTTATGTGCCCTAACATGATTGATAGAATTCCTGTAGAATGTTCCATGTGCACTTGAGAAGAATGTGTATTCTGTTGCTTTTGTATGGAGTTTTCTGTATATATCTATTAGGTCTATCTGGTCTAATATGTCCTTGGTGTGAACTGCTGGCTTTAGCGAGGTGGTGGGAGAGGGTGGGGCTAGGATGTACCTGCTGGCTTCTGAGAAGCTGCAGAGAGCTCTGGGGTGGGGTGTGCTTGCTGACACTACCCAGGTAGAAGGAGAGGGCAAAAATGGTACAGCACCCCCATCCTGGAGAGAGTCTTAACTGGCCCCTCCCTCTCCAACAGACACTTCAAGATTAGCAATGACTCTCCTTTACATATATTCTACATACTTTTCAAACTAATACTTTTGTGCTGGTCCCTGGGACAAATAAGTCTGTGTTTCAGCCCTAGCAAAAGTATGTCAGTTCCCTGCAGACCTGTAAGAAGTCTTCTAAATGTGAGCCTTGTTGGTTTTCAAAGGTAGACATTTTAGGGGCTCAACTCCCCATTGAGGGTCCGAAGGGTTGGGATGACTGATGTGGACCATGAACCCCTTGCTCCTCAGGGAGAATTTTCAGATTTGTGAGATCCCTTCTGATTGGTGGAGTTTTGGGCGAGACTGTCTCTTCCTCTCCTACCTGCCTTTGTGGGGCACATTTACAATTTATTGTGAGGGAACAGTTCAGCTAGCTTCCAGGTCTTTTTCAGAGAGAATTGTTCCATATGTAGTTGTAGATTCGGTGTGTTCATGGGAAGAGTTGAGTTCAGGTTCTTCCTGCACCACCAACTTGGACCACGGCCCTGGCCTTATTTTTGATTACTCCCAAATTTCTATCTACCATTAAAAATAATTTATTAGGAAACAGAAGAGTTATATAATTTTGTTTGAATTTTACTTTGTTGCTGCTTTTTTTTCCCGCACAGTTGAACTTTTTTAAAAGCATTAAAATTTAATAAATACAGAACATGAAACCTAGCTGTGGGTTGCCAACAGAAATTTCTGCATGCTTCCAGCTGAGGTGTAAATGATTCTCTAAAGCTTTATCTGATTTTCTCAGCAGAGTTTGTAAAATAGCCACCTCCTGTTCTTTTACATATTCATTTCCAGTGCATTTAAAGCACTAGGAGATCTATAGATATAGATAGAAATATAGATATGTACATAAATATGTAAGTATAG